TATGAAATTTTAACTTGATATGGCTGCCGACAAGTTCTCTAGATTTATTTTCGTGGATCTGCACAACAAGGATAAGATTTTTTTATCAACAATAATTAATTATAATATACTCTTTACACGAAAAATCTCTGCACACTTTTGTCTTTTATTTCTCATAAACAGTACCAATAATAATAATTATTATTATTTATTTATTTATTTATTTATTTATTTAAGGAAAGTGACTCCTCAAACGCGATTTTGGGACAATCACACTGCAAAAATGCCAAAAAAACGACATTTTGTAAACGCGTTTTTAAGCTTTAACATTGAAAATCGTGGCTGAAATATTGCCAAGAACTGTCAGTACAACTCATTTTGGAACTTAGTTCAAATTATCGGTACCTTATTTCTTGGTTTAGGAATAAAAGTTAAGATGGTACTACAAAATTGTGATTGTGTTCATTTTGTCAATAATTTTTTTAAATTTTATTATTTGAATTATTATTATTTTTTTTTAAAAAAAAAAATATATATATATATTTCATAAAATATTCCATAAAATATTACTTTAAGTATGACCTCTAGATTATTTTTCTCCAAACTCACTCCAAAAGAAACACACTCCGTGATTTTGATATTTGGGTTTTAAATTTTCGAATTTCCATCCAATTTTTTTAAGTGTTTTTATCCTCTTCTTCTTTATTTTTAAAATTCGATTTCATAATTTCTATGCATTATTTTAAGTTATTTCGGTTATTTAAACGATGACCTTACTGTTTTCAAATTATATTTATATTCTTTATGATTTAATTTCAATTTGATATATCATATGAATTATTTGAAAGAAATATCAATTTTATACTCCCTTTGTCCCAAATCAAATGGGTCATTTGAGATTTTTTAATAAATTAATAAATAATATTATTTTATTAATTAGTGGAAGTTGGGTAAGAAATTTTGATATTGAAGTAAAAGTCGAAGATATCTTGGTATTAGTGAATGATTATTTTTTCTAAAATATGAAAGAGATACTTTGAAATGAAATAAACGAAAATAGTAAAAATAATACTTTGAATTAAGACGAAGGGAACATAATTTTCTAAAGTTAAAACACTTTTCTTAACACAAAAACATGCTGAATGTTGGCCGAGTATTCTGTAATTTTTGTAATTTCTGGGTGTTGTATTCATTTTTTTTTTTTTTTTTTTTTGTTTCATATGTTAAATGTAAATATCTGTGTTAGCTTTAATTAGATAAAAATATAAAAATTTGTTCCGTTTGGATATAAAATAAATTTTATATAAATTTTTAAAATTACACTCTTTCTAGAGCTTACTTATATGTTTTGTTTAATTAAAAATATAGATAGATATATGCTTTAGCTTTAATTCGAGCTTTAATTCGAGACGAAGTTTGTTGCATTTTTGGATGTAAAATAAATTTCATATAAATTTTTAATATTACATATCATGTTTCTTGATAGAAGGTCTGTGTATATTTAACTAATATTCTGTTCATTCCAAAATTTATTTATTATATTTTTGTTTAATTGAAAATTTTAGATTTATGTATTATTTTAAATTAGAGACTAAATTTCTCCTATTTGAATGTAAGAGTTTTAAAACGAAGCTGCTCTATTTTTTTTAATTGAACGAATAGTTTCAGGTAAAATGATATTTTATTTTTTCGAGTGGCACTTATTTCAGTTATAAGATTTTAAAAAATAATTTTTTTTTAAAAAAATAAAAAACATGCATAATAATATTTAACTATGATAAATTTTTAATTTTTATTTGCACAATGAAGCATTTTTTTTTAAATAATAGTAATTATTTTAAATAAAAAATAGTATTTATTATATTTAATAATTGTTATCTAATAAAATATAATAAAAACTTAAATACAAATATATAAAAAAAGGCCAAATAATAAATATTTATATATGTATATTATTGTATTGCGGTGACTAGGCGAAATCAGTACAATATTTATTTTTTCATCAACACATGCTAAATAGGTAAAAAAAACAATATATTATTTTAATTAATACATCATATAAATGAAATTATATGCTAACAGTTCTTTATATAGAGTGTGTTGTATGTATATATATATTATTTGTTAACGTCAAATATAATATGTATGGTATAAATTATTATTATGTTTTATTTATTTATTTATATATTGTATTTATATTATTTTTAATAGAAATGATGTATCGTTTATTATTATCAAAATCCTTGTAAAATATTAAAAGAAAAATCTCGTATTTAATTATTATATATAAATAATATAAAAATAATAATTTTTAACTTTTATTTTACTTTATTTTTAAAAAATTGATTTGTTTGGTTACATTTTTAATTAAAATATATTATTTTCATGTACTTCTAATGTATAGATTTAACTTTTGATAAGTAAATAAAAAATATTAGTATTTAAATAGTAATTGTTAATTTACTTTATAAAATATTTATTTTCTTACTGAAATGCAATGAAACTAGGATAGTATGATTACAAATAAGTATAAAAATAAAAATATATATATTTGATGGTAAAGTTGACCACTATTATAGATAAAAATATATATTTATAATTAATAGTAAGATTCACAAGTATTAAAGAAAAATGTATATTTTAAACTCAGACTAACAAAAATAAAAATATATAAACGGACGGAGAAGATATTATTTTATTTTATGAAATACTATATCAGACTATAATTAAATTTAAATTTATAAATTCAATCACACAAAATTTAATATATTATTTGAATATAAATAAATAAATATTTATATACATATATAGTTTTAATAAAAAGCCCCCTAAATGCTCTAAAAAATTAGCTCAAGTAGCTGAGTCCTCAATCCTGTTATTATATTATGTACTATTTGCGACTGCCAAATTTTATTTTGTTTTTCTTTTTAGTATATTAACTAAATTGATTTTATTATTAAATTTAACAAAGTTAATAAATTAAAATTTAATTATTACTTTATATTCAATATTTATTTAAAATATATGATACTATCTTGATTATATTCTTTTTTTATTTTATTTAATTTTTAATTAAATTTACAAATATTTTCTTAACTATCTTTTCATTTTTACTACATTTTCAATAATATATATATATTTAAATTTTTATACTATCCCAAATATATTGAGGAAAGTATGGTAAATATGAAAATTTAAGAAATTTATAATTAGTAATTAATTAATAAAATAACTATGAGATAAAACAAATAATTATATATTATGATTACGATAATTAAATAATTTAATTAAGATAAAAAATATAAATTATAAAATTTAAAATGTAATTAAAATATATAGTTATTTTTTTAAAAATGACAAATTATATAAGATAGGACGAAATGAAAATATTGAATATTCTATGTTGGACAGAAAGAGTAATATACTATTATATTGAATTTTAACTTTCTTTTATGATATGAGAATCGGCAGCCGCTACCCGAAAGCGCACACTGGGTATTTGGTTTGTGTTTATATTTTTATATTTTATACTACTTCCGTCCGGCTCTAAGGGTCTCATTTACTTTTTGCGTGTTGATCTTTGAATATTAATTATTATATAAAAATGTAATCCCTCCGTTCCAAAACTATAGTATGGGTTGGGTTTGACATGAGATTTAAGAAATATTGATATTATATTGGTAGTGGGTAAAAAGTACACGTAAAATACTTTTTTGTCCTTGTGAGTGTATTAGTGTAAAAAGTAGTGGCAATCGTGTAATAATAATGAAAAAGTAAAGGTAGTTTTACAGTGATATGATTATTTATGGAAATGAAACTATTGTTTTGGAACGGACAAAAATGGTAAATAGGACTATTGTATTGGAACAGGGGAAATAATATAAATTAAGGGAAAATGACAAAAATACTTTTATTAGTATCTTATAATACTATTACAATGACAGTTGTGCAAAAATTTATACAAATATAAAAATATTTTTAATATTAAGTATAATGACGTAAAAGGTAAATTGAGATCCTTATAGTCGAACAGATGGAATAATTTCTACTATATTTTAAAACTCCTAGCATATGAAGACTTGTGGAGGGAGAAGCAATTGCCTCAAGTGGTGTTTTGGTTTTATCACAAGTCAAGAAGGCATGACAAACTACATAAATGTCTGATTTTGATAGACCATTATATACTAGTTTCTAGGACATGATATATATATATATATATATATTTTTTGTAAATAAGAGAAAATTATAAAATATATTATCTATTTTGTGTTTATATATACTATTCTATTTTTTTATATATATATATTTTTATACATGCACATATATTATTTCTTACAAGTATTTAGAGATATGCTTATTTATATTTATATATATATTTTTTATTAATACTTAAAAGGTTATTTTATTACCGATAAAATTAAATTGCATAAATTTTTTAAAATATTATTTAATAACCTTGTTGTCATTTATAATTTATGTATACATTTTTTTTTTATCGAAATAATTTATGTATAAATTAATTGTATATGTAATTTATATAAAAATTAAAAGATATTTTCATACTAGTGTGTAATTGCTTTTACAATAATAAACTATAGATATTTTTATACATATTTCAACATATTTATATTGTATTATAATTCAAACATATGATATCTTATTAAACAACATATACTGAAATATGTATGCTGATCAGTCATATGACATATGTTGTCCGATTAAATAGCACAATGCTGACTTGAACGAACCAACATATTATCTCCAACAATCGTGTGTGTATATATATATATATATATATATATATATATATATATATAGACAGAGACAGAAATTGAACAATTGCCCCCAAAGTAAACAAAATTCCATAGTCATGGAAGGTAATAATAATAATAATAATAATAATAATATGGTGACAAATATCTTAGATCTAACCATTCCAAATCACAAGTTGGTTCCAAACAAGACCATACCATATCACCAACATCACATGCCCCTATCTGTCTATAAAAATACACTCGAATAACACTACATTATTGCAAACAAACATACCTCAACCATGGCCAACCTCACCCACACCCTAACATTAATCCTCTTCTTGAATTTTGGATCATTTCTTACATCCTTTGCTTGCCCTTATTGCCCTTTCCCAACCCCTCCTACTAAACCCCCAAAACTCCCCCCAAAACATCCCCCCAAGCTCAAACCACCCACCCCGCCCGTCGTCAAACCTATGCCACCCGTTGTCACACCCCCTATCGTGCACCCCCCGATCATCCCCAAGCCTCCTATCATCATACATCCCCCAATCATCTATCCTCCCGTCATCCCTACCCCTCCTGTCATTGTTCACCCTCCGGTTATCATACACCCCCCGGTCATCCCTAATCCCCCCATTATCATACACCCCCCGGGGGTCACCCCTACACCGGGGACACCAGAGACACCATGCCCACCACCACCACCACCAAAGGCCCCGACATGTCCGATTGATGCCCTAAAACTAGAAGGGTGTGTGGATGTATTAGGTGGGCTAATCCACATTGGGATCGGGGAAAACCCGAAGGAAAAATGCTGCCCGTTGCTACAAGGGTTGGCGGACTTGGACGCGGCGGTGTGCCTTTGCACCACCATCAAGGCTAAGGTTCTCAACATCAACATCCTCATCCCCATTGCTCTACAAGTTCTTGTGGATTGTGGCAAGCACCCTCCCTCTGGATTCCAATGCCCTCCATGATTTCATCATACAAGATTATATTATAATTAGTTGTTTTATTTGTCTTTTTGTTACATGGGGTGGGTTTTTTTTTGGGGGATCTTTAATTCTTGTTCTTGTAATAAATTTGATATGATATTACAATGTTGAATCGAAGATGTGTACTTTTTGATATCTGGGTTTTTTGGGTTTTACAATAATCGACTAAATGTAAAATCAAGATGCTTTTTTGATTTTTTTTTTTTTTTTTGTTGGTTGCCATGCTTTGTAACAACTATATATGACTACATATGGAGTCAAGATTTCTTCTTCTTCCTCAACATATGTTGAAATTAATGTTTCTATTGAACTATACCGTAAATATGGTGTGCAATTACATATTGAATGATACAAAAATTCTTGCAATAACAAAATAATTATTGAGAATCATTTTATAATTCTATCAATACTTGATTATATGTTGAGGAAAAGATATCTATGATCAATATGCTAAGAATATGCGAGGAAGCCAAAAAAGTATGACCTAAGCTTGAACATATTTGGAATCGAACTCATGAATTTACTAACAAAATATATTTGGTAACAAAATATTTGGCTTAGATTGGAACCCATAATTTCATTGAACATTTAATAAAAAAAGATATAAATAGAATGCTTCGACTAAATCCCCAACCAAGAGGAAGTAAAGGCGGATGGAATTCGATATCTAGTCTAATATCAATACTATATCTTTTCTCCGACTATTGCTCTACTATCTCTCTTTGATACTCAACATATAAAAAATATGTTAAACTTTGATTCCGATTGTTCGGTAACATTTTTGTTCTCTTTAATGCACTGTGTATTTATATATATATATATATATATATATTAACTTTTCAATTTCTTTAATTCTTTTTTTTAAATATTGTATTTACTAACTATTTATTTATAAGAAACATCCCATTTTATTTCACTTCGAAAACATAAAAAACACACATACACAATAAAACTAACACATATATGTACGGCTATATTTCAGTCATATAACTAATTTTTAAATTTTGGTCCTATAAATTCATGTATTCTAATCTTGTAAGTCTCTTATGGTGTTTGAATAATGTGATCAAAAGTGCAAACTACTGCAACTTCAATTTTATTTTTTTATTTTTAAAAAAGTATTACGGAAAAAATGGTGGAATCAAATTGATAATAAAAATGTGTGTATATTATATATTACAAAGTTTTCTAATAATTGTGACACAATGTTCCATCAAGATGTGCCTTTCTTACTAAAGAGTTCCAAGGGTAATATCTCTTTCTTTGACTTATATTTTGTAAGCGACAGATCCGGTACTGACCCAATCAAATCAACTTGATGCTGATTTATTCGGGTTAGCATATTGTATTCAATATATATTATATACTAGCTAGTGTATTTATTATACAATATATATTATGTTATAACTGAGCATATGATATCTTATATAACAATATATATTGTATTATACAAAAATATATATTGCTTATTTTTATATAATATGTTGATCCCATCAAACTAATACTATACTGATTTGATCGAGTTAGCACGTGACACACGCCCTATATTCTATATATTCAATTTTGTTATTTCTTTGTCACAAACTAAACTTTATTATTTATTTATTATTTTGAAACGAATGGTCAATCTTAGTATTTATAGGAACTGATAGGGCCAAATTTGTTTCCTTTTATGTAAGCTGGTCTCCTCCCATTATTCATATTATATATATATATATATATTTGAAAATATTAAATTAAATTTTTATTATTTATTATTTTAATATATAAAAAATCTTTCATCGAAATCATTGAATAATATATTTATTTATTTATATTATATCAAATACCTTATTTTGTATTCAAACTTTTAAAATTTCTGATTTCAAACTCAAACCCAAACACACACAACTTCTTAGTTCCAAAAATAAAATGATTATCGTCTCCAATTTAGACAGCATCTAAATAAGTCAGCAATAATCTTGGTGAACACACTAAAATTAGGAATTAAATTGGGCAGAGATTGGGATACCACTACAAGAAAATATCATAAGAGTTTTTAGTCCCTAAATGTATTTTTTTTTTATGTTACTAATGATATTAGAGACGGAATTAGTAATGAAATTACGTTAGCTACGTGAACTTTAGGAACGGAATTCCGTTACAAATATACTATTTTTTTGTAATGTACACATTATGAAAATCCTATGAAATCACAACTAAAATGCTACACACACATAAAACAAAAAAAAAAAAAAAAAAAAAAAAAAAAAAACAAGCCAAAGCTTATTCGAAGGGGAGATGACCACTAATCTATTCAAGAAATCCATTAGATTCACTCATCATCTTCCATTCTTAACCTTTAGTTTTGCTAGGATTATTTGTTTTACTTGGCTTGTGTATAAATAAGCTAGAAAGAAACGACCAACAATACCTCTCAACAATTAAACAACTCGATATTTTTCTTTATTCTGTTTCACTTATTTTTTACTTATTCTTTGTTGCGCTGGTAGCCTACCCGCTGAATACTCCAATTTTTATTGGTGCAAGATTATCATCTACTCCCTCCGTTTGAAAACAATACGAACATTTGAGATGAACACGAGAATTAAAGAATAATAACAACAGTGAGTGTAAAAGTACTTTTAAAAAACTAAAATACTCATACTTTATGTAATTATTGTGAAAAAAGTGGGGATAATTTTGTAAAAATGTGAAAAGTTAGTTATCGAAAATAGAAATGAGACTATTGTTTTGATATAGACGAAAATGGTAAAATGAGACTATTGTTTTGAGACGAATGGAGTACTATTCAAGCCGCTCAAATACATTCATGCCGGTTTGTCATCCTTGGATTCAAAAGGGCTCTTTGGAATACTTTCCGAATCCAACATTGGCTTGAAATCTCTTGCCAACACAAATTGTTTGAACTCATGCCAAGGATTAAGTTAAATCTATTCCAATCGAACTAAGGGTGACACTTTAATATGATTCCAATTTAGCCCACCTATCTAATTAATTAACTCAGTTATTAATTAATTATAAAGCTCTAATAAATCTATCAGTATCAATTAATTATTTTTCTTAATCCCTTATATTTCTCACATTTCAATTAATTGATTTTGAGAAATGTAAAATTAATCATAAACTAAATTTCCAACAATCAATTATACTATTAACCGATTACCAATACAAATAATGTCCATAACCTTAAATCTTTATGTTCTCTACAGAGGCCCAAGACATGTTACCTACTTATCTTATCTATGTTTGTTCTTTTATAATTTTAAAATGAAGTCAATACTATGTATTCTGTAGAAATTTTTAATAAAATGTAGTATTTTGTTTTTTTTTTTTGTTTTTTTTTTATACAAAATCACATCAAAATACTATTTAAACAAAAATTCAAATCAATATTCAATTTCAAACTACAACCAAACAAAATATTCACAGTATTAACAATATTAATGAATTTGAATTTAGGTTAAAAAATGTGTTAGTGTGTTTGTTTGGGGTATAAGTTTTTTAAATAATAAAATTTTGAATTAGAATATATAGTTATTTGATGTAATATAAATAGATATTAATACATAATTTTGAATACAAAATTAATTTTTTAGAATATTCACATTATTCACTGTTGGGGTGCAAACCCAAGTTCCACATCGGAAGTTGGGAAGAAAATTTCACATCTTATAAGTCCCTAGTGAACTCCTCTAGGATGAGGTTTTTTGGAGGATATCCAAAAATAAATTCGTGCGGACTCAGTCCAAAGCGGACAATATCATACTAGTGTTAAGTTGACTCAGTAGCCCGGTTAAATAGTGAAGTGGACTAGGTGGCATCGGGCGGAGTTGGGTCGGTCCCTCATTCATATTTGCAAATGTAGCAAGATTAGAGTAGCTGTTGTAAGTGATTGATTATGAGATCAGATGCAATATCTTTTCTCATGGTCTTCCAAAACTTATTTTCGATACAAAGAATCATGAATAAAGGATTCATTAAAAACATGTTACTTTACAGATTCATCATATATAGAAAGAAGACATGCGAATAATTTATTATTATTATTATTATTATTATTATTATTATTCGGTTTTGAAAATGTCTATTTAGCGTTCGGACTTATTCTCACATCGATACCTTAAAGGATGCCTCAAATTATTCGAAACTCCTATATTTGATTGACATTCAACACAATTGTTGAGTTACTGAAGATATGTTATAGTTGTTAAAATGTGTTTACTTGGGTTGATTGATTTATTTTTTTGGGTTTGTGGCTTGAGTATTTCTCTATGCAGTAGTTGCTTCGTATATTTAATTTTTATTTGAAGGCAAGCTATACAACTTATTGCAACCGATTTATTTTTACTAGGCTTGAGAATTTTCCTGTTTACTTGGAAATTTGGGTGGTTTGTGAAATAAGTTAGTGCATATAAGTCTTTCAGAATTTTATTGGAAATTACATTATATTAAATTATATCCTCTTTGGTGGTAATAGTTGAAAAGTATGTGAGTGTTGGATTTGCACAAAATTGGGTTAAATTTAATCGACACAATCGTTGTCATGATTATGTTGGAATAACACTATCATCTAATTTATTTTTTTTTGATGACGTGGGAATGCGCAGTCTCTGTCCGAAAGTGCGCACTGGGTAAACCTCCGGTCGAACCTAATACCCTGCAAACCAGGCCCGATGGGACACTATCATCTAATTTACTTTCTAAATAGTTGGAACACATGCATGAAAATCTCACTTGTAGTGTGCTGATTGTTTCATTTTCTTGCGACTAGAGAACCTTTCATTTTTATTGTTTGGGGATTGAAAGTTTTGTTATTCCTTGCTATTGTGTTGGACACTCCATCAGTGGATTCTAAATAGGACATCTCTTGGATTTCACAACATTTGAGAAACACTTCTATCATGTGTCATTATCGATGTTTAAACTCATTAATATTATTAATTCGTTAATTATTACGTGATATTCTTAATTATTTTTCTAACCCAAAAAAAAATATTTGTAATTTCTATTTTAGGGGATAACCCTGCAATGGTGAAGGTGTTCTCACATTTGCTATGGTCCCAAATGCTCATTTAATCATCCCCACAATTGCTAATGCACGCACCCTCCGCGAGGTACTCAATATCGAGTCC